TCAATCCGGACAGGGTGTCTCTGAAAGCTGTGCTCACCCATATTTAATGGAACACTAAACACTCTATTTCCTTGCTGTAATCAAGCTATGACTTCTAACGAGAGACCCACACCCACCCTCCCTCAGTCAGATCCAGTCAGCTTTTCATGAGAGCTTGGAAGAGTGACCAGAGAGTCTGGTACTTAAACTAAATTCCACCCCACTGAAAATACATTGAATTTCCAATCTAGATTACCAAAACCCTTTAGCCTAGACGGTAAGAGAGATAGTTCTGTTTTCTTATTGTTGCTGTTGGTTTTTTGGAGGGTTTTCTGGTTTGGGGGAGTTGGGGGAGGTTGTTTGCTTTTTGTTTTTGTTTTTGGCTGAGAGAGAGTTTTAAGGCATGGTCTTGTTTATGTAGCCCTTGTTGGCTTGAAACTCAACCACATAGACCAGGCTGGCTTCAAACTTGTGGCTTCTGCCTCTGCTTTCATGCTGTTGGGACTGCAGTCATGAGCACCACTCCTGGTCAGGACCAAGCCATTTTCAAGTCCTTTGAAACTCAACAGTCCGTATTTAGCTCTTATCACAGCAATGTCTTCCACCCGCCACTTGGCCAGTCATCCTTGAATTTCAGGTCACTTTGTAGGGTCTTGCGGATACAATTCACCTGAAGACTGAGGCTGGGCCTACCATACGATGTCTGTATTGAGTTAAGCAGAATGGCACACACCAGTAATCCCACCCTGCAGGAGACTACAGACTGCATGTCATAGTCTAGTCTGGGCTGCACAGTAAGGTCCTGTCTCAAAACAACACAATGCACAGCTCGTCCATTGCTCCTGAGGTGGGAGAGGGTCATGAAAAACGGAAAAATCAAAAGTCCTTCTACCCTCCCTGAGGTAATAGTGCCCCATGTCCTTTAGCGTCCTCCCCCAAGCCCGCCCCCAACCTCCTATTACTCTATGTAAGTATTTCATCTATACAAGTATGTAAGATATTGTATCTATCCCCAGTCTAGACTGGAAGCTGGGGGAGACAGGGATTCTTTTTCTATGTCCCCAGCAGGTGTATATGGCACCTATGTCTAGGAGTTTACCAACACGTGTCTGAACTGTCACACCTCTGCCCCAAATGTGGGCCCCTCTGTGACTCCTAGAGAAATAAGGTAGGAAATCATCTCCCCATGGGCTCCATGTCCTCACCCCTGTGTGCTGTGTGGGGAGGGTGTTCCCTTTCTAATTGCCAATTGATCTAACAAGCCATAGCACTACACCACAAGCCTCCTTCCTTCCACCCTTCTTCCCAGCACTGTTCACATCCCCTCTGTGCCCCAGAACGGGGCTGTCTCAAACTCACGGGAACATTTTGTCTGCATGTTGGTATGTTCTGTCTGTGTGTTGGTATGTTCTGTCTCTATGTTGGTATGTTCTTGTGGATGCAATTCACTTGAAGACTGAGGCTGTGCCTACCGTATGATGTCCATGTTGAGTCTGCATGTTGGTATGTTCTGTCTGCATGTTGGTATGTTCTGTCTGTATGTTGGTATGTTCTGTCTGTGTGTTGCTATGTTCTGTCTTTATGTTGGTATGCTCTGTCTACATATTGGTATGTTATGTCTCTATGTTGGTATGTTCTTGTGGATGCAATTCACTTGAAGACTGAGGCTGTGCCTACCATATGATGTCCATGTTGAGTCTGCATGTTGGTATGTTCTGTCTGCGTGTTGCTATGTTCTGTCTGCGTGTTGCTATGTTCTGTCTCTTTGTTGGTATGTTCTGGCTTTTCCTAGCAGACACAGAAGAGTCCTGCCTGTGTTGTGGAGTGTGAAGCCCTGCACAGCACACTTTCATCTCACATGCGTCTTCTTCAAGGCTCCTGTGAAATTGTCCTCTGTGACTGAAAGGCAGCAGGATCTCACAAAGGGACGATCAGGACCAAGCCCAAAGCTGAGTGACAGAGTTATCTATTAACCATGTGGCACCTGGCATTTATCACCCTGATGAATGGAGTGTCTGTGCCTGGGGACCTCATTCTTGAGTGACAAGGGAGATTGTAGTGAGTCACTCCATACTCAATTGGGCCTGCATATTTACTTAACCATTTTAATTCAATCTGACCCTATCTGAGACATTTAATTGTTCAAATGTTTATTAAGCCCCTTTGTATGTGGAAATTTGAAAACTCCCTGTCTTTTCTTGGGATGGAATCTCATTTTGCAAGATAACACTATTGCCTTGCTATCTCACTACCATAAAGACCCAAATATTAGCCTGAATCATAGAGGCATCTGCTGTTTACACTTTCTTTAAATCCTTTCTAAAACAGTATTAGAAAGCTAATACTCCTCGTGCTTGATAAAAAGGTACCCCAGTGATACCTAATTTTATGTGTCAACCTTCCCCGGTCAAAGTATCCAACTGTTTCACCAAACATTATTCAGGGTGTTTCTGGGAATACATTTTGGGATGAGAATGACTTTTAAGTGGATGAGGTTTAAGTGAAGCAGATTGCCCTGCCTGCTGTGAGTGGGCCTCACCTGATCAGCCGAATGCCTGAAGAAAGCCAGATCTTCAGAGGAAATACTGTAGAGTACTCTGAGACGTGAATCGCTGTGTCAGCTCTGGAGTGAGTTTCTTGCTGGATAACCCTCCTGCTGTTCTTCCTAACACACCCTATTTACCACCCAGATTCTTGAAGTGGAAGATGACATCTTGGCAGTAGAAGACACGCTGGGTGGGTCTGAGTGTCTGTTGGTGACTAAAGATCTTTGTGGGGAAAGAATGGACAATCGGGGAAGGGATGGACAGTTGGGGAAGAGATGGACAGTGGGGGAAGGGATGAACAGTCAGAAGAGAGATGACCAGTCGGGAGAGGGATTGACAGTCAGAAGAGGGATGGACAGTTGAAGGAGGGATAAACAGTTAGAAGAGGGATGGACAGTTGAAGGAGGGATAAACAGTCAGAAGAGGGATGGACAGTTGAGGGAGGGATATACGGTCAGAAGAGGGATGGATAGTTGAGGGAGGGATAAACAGTTAGAAGAGGGATGGACATTTGAGGGAGGGATAAACAGTCAGAAGAGGGATGGATAGTTGAGGGAGGGATAAACAGTCAGAAGAGGGATGGACAGTTGAGGGAGGGATAAACAGTCAGAAGAGGGATGGACAGTAGGAAGAGGGATTGACAGTCGGGGAGGGATGGACAGTCAGAAGAGGGATGGACAGTCAGAAGAGGGATTGACAGTCAGGGAGGGATGGCCAGTCGGGGAGGGATGGACAGTCAGAAGAGGGATGGACAGTTGGGGGAGGGATGGACAGTCAGGAGAGTCAGCATAGGAGCTGGAGTGTATCATAGGAGGAAACTCTCTAGGAGAGCTAAGTGAAGGAAGTAGATCACTTATGGAAATGTCTTAGAAGAAGCCTAAGGAACTTCACAGGCATCCAAGGGTGATGGGACACACCTATGATCACACCACTCCAAAGAGGCAAAGCTCAGAGGAGTACAAGTTTGAAGTGACCCATAGTAAGACTCTCTCTCAAACAAACAACGATCAAAAGAGACATATGGGCTTCTGAGGAGACATTACAGAGCCAATGCAATTTGGTCTGCTAATTTAAAATGTACTAACAGTGTGTGTGTGTGTGTGTGTGTGTGTGTGTGTGTGTGTGTACGTATGTGCATGTGTGAACACATATTCATCCATCTCTGCACATGCGGAAGCTAGAGGTTTATGTACGGTGGTCTTGTTCTACTGGTTTTCACCTTACTCTTTGAGACAGGGCCTCTCACTGAACCTGGAGCTCTAACGATTTGGGCCAGGCTAGCTGACCAGTGAGCTCCAAGGATCTTCAGTCTCAGCCACCTGCCCCTGGGACTACAGACACACATTATTGCCCCCAACTTTTTTATACGGGTACTGGCAATCCAAGCTCAGATCCCCAAGCTTGTACAGAACCATCTCTCCAGTCTTTTATGTTGAAGCTTCATAATATAGTTCTGAATATTTATCTATTTTTACTATGTGACTGTTTCGCCAGAAGAGGGCATTGGATCCCCTGGGAGTGGAGTGACAGATGACTGTGAACCTTCATGTGGGCCCGGGGAACTGAACCTGGGTCCTCTGCAAAAAAAGCAGCAAATGCCTTTAACCACTCAGCCATCCACCTCTTCCGCCCCTCATAGTATATTTTTGACGTTTCTCTGTGAAGTTTTTTAATTTGCATATTTCATGTGCATTTGTATTCTGCCTGTGTGCATGTCTGTGTGAGTGCATCAGATCCCCTGAAACCGGAGCTATAGTCACTTCGGAGCTGTGAAGTGAGTGCTGGGAATTGAACCTGGGTCCTCTGGAAGAGCAACCAGTGTTCGTAACCATGGAGCCATCTCTCCAGCCCCTGTGTGTAGTTCATTTTTAATCCAAGACCATAAAGGACCAGAAGACCACCAATAAGCCCTACTTATCTCACTAGTGTTGACATAACAATGAGATACTTAGTATCCACCTGCTCTCCACGATCCACGAGCGCTCTGACTGCTCTCAGAAAGGAGTTAATCTTGCCTGCAGTCATTGAGCCCATGCAGAGATGCTCCAGCTAACATGATGAGCTTCTGCGAATATGAATTATCACAGCCTTTGTGAATTACCATGTACTGTGAAGACACATCTGAGGAGCTGGCTACTTCAACCAAACTGTGGAAGTGCCTCATTTCTTAAAGTCATAAGCCATTCTTATTTAAGATAATAACAACCTCTTTCTAATCTATTAGCTTATGAAATTCCATTTTTGCCTAAGAGGTCTAATTAAAGCAAGGCAAAGCTATATTTAATAACATTCAGTTGCCTGAAATAATTATTAGAGAAACCCTTAAGGTTTTACCAGAAAGTAGTTTAATGTATCAAATAAATGTCAAGTTCCCCAAATCAAACCAGTAGGAAACTTAATAGTAGGAATAAATGTCACCATTCTCTATATCCTCTCATTTAAAAAAAGAAAAGAAATGAAAACAGTCACACAATGTAGGGAATCAGAATTTGTTTTTATATCCCTAGAGTTATAAACATATGTATCAAAATATTTACAGTTATAGTATATGAAATAATCTATTAAGAAGCCAAATACAGTACTAGAATAGCCCACCAATGCAATGCAAGTTACATGAGACGTAAATGTCACAGAAAAAGGTAAAAGACAAGGAAATGCATGGCTCACATCAATCAAAATTCAACTTTTTCACAAAATGTGGCTATGTTTTTCTGATCACAGCTGTCTGTTGATATCCTTCTGAACCTAAGACAGCCTTGAACAAGCGTATGGTGATCAAATTGTAATTTAAGAGTTTATTATCCCACAGTTTTTCCTGACCAATGTCTCTACCCTCAGCCCAGCAATTTAGTAACCCACCTTCAACATTCCCTTAAACATAATACACATAGAGAAATATACTTAGTAATAGTTCCTTTACATAAATACCAGCAATTATAGCATAACAACTCCCCCCAGTAAGGAAATGTGTATAAGAAATGGATAAGGATAACCCTAGGAAAAGGAATGGAGGTGACATGTCTCAGACTCCTCCTAGGGGTGATCTTCCAAGGGCAATAAAGGAAACAATTTCTAAAGAGAAAGCCCTGTAGGCAGAAATCTGAGATGGCTTAACATAGCTGCTGTAGATAGAGCTCTGGCCCCTGAACCAGGACTATGACACTACGTCTCAGTCTTATGTAAGAGTACTCTTGTGGCCCCAACAATTCTGCTGCCTTCTGACTAGACACCCCAAGAATTTCTCTTGCCTTTAAAAAGGAACTGTCTGCCCATCATCTGGACTTTACTCAGCTCATGATGTTTAAAATTTGTGTTTCCTGAGAGCAGTTACTCTGTTCTTATTATAACTGAAATGTAGTATGCTTAACACTCCATAACCAGACAGCACCTCCCCCACCCTGCCTCAGGGCTTGTTCTTTGGTTTAGGTTGGTGTATGCTTTGATTGACTTCTAGAATTGCCATCTTCATCTAGAAAACAGTTTGGGGAAACCTATGGAGAGGGGACCACTCCAGCCAGGGTCAAAGCTATAGTGACCACTGAACTTAGCCGTTCTGTTCTGGTCCCCAGTGTTGGTTATTGTGAGAGAGAACTTCCTCAAAGGTCCCTAATTCAGAAGCTTAGCAGAGTCATATGGTAAGGGGCTGTGTGTATCCCTCACCTGTTACATTTACAAGAAACACTGTGTGCATTAGGGGGACTCCTAAAAACCACCTTACTATAGCACTGTGGTGGGTGTGCCCTTTGACCCTACAGTTTGTGGGGCATTTTCATCTTTGGCTCTAGAGAATCTAGAGAAACTCCAGAAAAGCTGCCTTAGCTTTTAGTGAGAGTCCATCAGAGTCCAGAGCAGGAGGCCTCTATAAGGGACATCTCAGTGAGGTGTGACAGAGACTCTGCCAATCTCAGCCTATCTCCCAGTCCTCCAGGGTAAAAACTTCTAGTTCTTGATTAAGCCAATCCCACCAGCTTGCCTTATAAACCACCTCTTTCTAGTCTTTTCAGAAAGGCCACCAGATAGGGGAAGTGGCATCATGGCCAAAGCCCCCGCTACCCCTCCCCCCACTAAAGGCACTTGGAATCTGAATTTGGTGTTTGGCTTTAGGTTGCAGGACGGGTGGCCTCCAGTCTTAGCCTTCCCAGCAAAGAAGCAGTATCTGCTCTTGCCGGGACTTGGACCACTGTTGGAGCTTGGTGATATAGGTTTGGAAGACCTCGGTGAGTGGCCCAGAAGTTTCCCTCAAGAGTGGAACCAGTCGTCCAGTCCTATGGCAGCTGATAAGGTCCTAAGTGGTGCTGTGTAACTGAGGACAGAGGGGCTCATATTTGGTGGCTAGAGGAGGACCCTCTGATGGCTTCAAGGAAGCATCAGCATAGTAGCCAACAACTTTTCTTCCAAGGGCAGGTGCTTGGCAGTAGAGAATCCCACCCCCAGAAATGGTTTGGGTTTGGGCCTCTCCCCCACTTTTCCTTCCCTCTTCCCCTCCCCCCTCCCTTCCCTTGGTTATTCCTACACAATAACTTCTGCTTCCCTCCCAGATTAAGCCGCTTCCTCCTCCCCACGCCCACCCCACCAAGTCCCCATAAGCTTGTTCATCTTATTTCTTCCTCAGGACCATGTAGAGAATGCCAATAATAAAAGTGAAGCAGAAGCAAATCCAGGTCAGGATGAAACAGTAGCCATGGTGGTTTGTGGGGGTAAATTTCTCACCGTGGGCATAATGGTGAGTGTAGATGGACACTCCGACCAGGATGCAAAACCCTGCAAGGAAAAAGGCGCTGTCATGGCGGGCACCAAAGCAGTTTGTTTCTTTGTTTGCTTTTAACAATCCCATTTCCCTCAACAACAATGGGAAAGGAAACTCTCACTGTTTTTTCCTAAAAGGTCACTCTGTCGGTTTGCCCAGATTCAAGCTTGTTGGGTGTTGGTGAAAGAGAAATATCTGGGCTCTCAAATCTGCACTGGCTTGTGTGTAATTATTGTGAAGAATAAATCATGGAGTATCCTGCTGGCCACCAGCCTTTCCCACCCGGACCCTGGTATGTCTAGGGATGGTGTTATGGGAGCAGCATGGCCTTTTACCAAACTGGGTGTATCTGGGGTGATGGAAAAGATGGTGCATTGCAATAATCGTGCACATCCTGGCCATAGCTGCATCTTTCTGAGGATGCCACCTTCTCACCTTCTGTATAGAGGGGTACTGATGCTGCCCAACCACTTGGTGGCTCCTAGGGACATCTAGCTTTTTAAACAATAAAGCAGGTGGGGGTTGTTAACCCAAGCAGCAATAGCAAATCAACAGGCAACTAGAGGTGAGAACAGCCGAATGCAGCTTCACACAGCCATGTGCTAATCTGAGGCCCGACTGGAGCAATGGTGTGAAGTCTAGTCAAAGGTTTCCTGCATGTAGCTCAGTAGTCATGTATTTGTTCTGTCTTTCAAGGCCCTGGGTTCAGTCTCCAGCAATGGGGTAAAAAAAAAGATGCTCCCATGTAAAATAGCCCATGCCCTGGATACTCACAGCACACCAACATGGTGGACCCTGAGAGGAAGAAGCGGTTTCCCTTCTCCATGGTGAAGAGCTGGAACACGAAGACCACAAGGGAGATCACACAGAAGATGATGGAGAGGATCATGAAGGCTTGCACTGCCTTGAGAGCATCTGTGAACACAGGGCAGGAGCATTAGACGACCCGGAAGTCTGGGCATGGCACTACCCTCACCACGGTGGGCTAGGCGCTGGTGTCTGCACTCATACCTTCATTGCCGTATGTCAGGGTGTCCTTGCAATCACCACTAGTACAGTTCTTCCAAAGTCCCACGGAGGATGCTACGTCATTTGAAACCATCCAGACCTGAAACCAGAGGAGACGGAGTCGATTAAGAGTTGCTCTTCTGCTTTCTAGAAGAGAACATCATCATGTGTCAGGACCAAACCTTAACCAAGATGCCCTATGTGGCTGTCGACACCGCTAAGCCTCGTGTCTCTGCAGAAATAAGATCCTAAGTCACAAAGGTTGCAAGAAAGGAAACTGTGGACCAGAAAAGATGCCACCTTTCCTATTTGGACTTGATTATTCATGATGCACACACACAGACGCATGCACACTCATACAGCTCACACACACTCACACACACACAACTGAAGAAAGTTCAACATAGTGGTTTAAGATCCTAAAGTTCTAAGGAATAAAAACTCTGGATGAGGAAAAGAACACTGAGCATGTGCAAGGCACTTTAAAAGGCTCACATTTAAGTAGTTAGTTAATGAGGGGAAAAAATTAGTTAAGTCAGGCCTGGTAGAAACTGCCTGTAATTCCAGCACCCTGGAAATAAACAGGAGGCTCAGGGGTTTAAGACTTATCAGCTCAGATAGTAAGTTTGAGGCCAACGTGTAGGTTACATAAGACTCTGTCTCAAAAGACAAAAACAACAAAAGATGGCTCACCAATTGACAGCATCAAGTGCCTTTGCAAAAGAACTAAAGTTCCATTCCCCAGCACCCACACTAGGAGGCTCACAGCACCTGGAACTCCAGCTTCAGGGCTTCCAGCATCTTCACTTGCACTCATGTGTGCATACTATATATATATATATATATACATATATTTAATATATATATTAAAAATAAATCTTTAAAGAGCAAAAAACAAGAAATATGTCCAGCTGGAGACAACTAAGAAACAGGAAGGCTGCTGGGGAAACAAAAATGATTCTGGTGGCTCGTGGGCCACTTTAGTCCATTCAGAAGGTTCAGATGTGGACTGTCACGGCACAGAGTCCTTAAATATCAAACGCTTCAAGGCAGGGGCAGCTAAAAGTCCAAGAATGACCAAAATGTATATCCCCAGGTCCATCGTGGTGACAGCACCCCTTCTCGCCTGAATTGAGAATAACAACTCCTCAGTGAAATAGAAAATAACTAGAGTCCTGTCTACACATGCGCACGCGGAAACAGGAAGCCCAAGCGCGCGCAATCGCCCGCTAGCTCCGCCCGGCATCAAGGGGCTGACCCTGGGTGGATAAGAAGCACGTGTGCCTCTTGTAATGATATGTGAAGTTTCCTGTGAAGCACAGGAGTCAGCATACACAATCGACAAATTATAAAGCTGAAGGAGGCAAGATGGGCAGGGGTTGTGTCCTCTCTCTAGTATGCAAACTAGCCTACCTAGCTTGTATTCACACCCACTTCGCTCTGGACTTTAAAACCTATCAGAGCCTTCATCCCAGTACTTGGGAGGCAGGGGTAGGTGCATCTCCAAGTTTGAGACCTGTCTGATCTACATAGTGAGTTCCAGGACAGCCAGGATTATACAAAGAAACCCTGGGGGGAGGGGAGGACACAAAACTATTTACCCTTTGACCACCACAAGGGTCAAATGGACTCTCACCCATTCTAGAGCCGTCGTTTGTCTACCTAATGATCGGCTGCCTTAACTTCTTTGTTTGTTTGTCGACCAGGTTGGCCTCAGATCACAGAGATCCTGCCTCCCAAGTGCTGGTATTAAAAGCTCGTGCCACCACACCAAGCAAAGCGTGTGGCCCAGGCTGGCCTCAACTCATGGACCTCTTGCCTCCGCCTCTTTCAAGCGATCCTTCCATCACTTAGTCACTTTACTTCTTAGTCCTAGAAACTGGCTCTTTTTCCTTGAGACGAGGGCAATACAAGCAATTTGGGAGCTGGAAATGACCACTAGGGGTCAGAGTAGACCCAGGTTCGGAGAGCAAAGACCCCGGTTCACCGGGATTGGAGTTAGTGAATCTTGCCAAATTCCATTTCCCACACCGATTTCCACTCAAAAGTCGGATTTATCAACCTAATAACCAAAGCAGCGTTCTCGTTCTCACAGTCATCTAGCCCATAATCACAAATTTCTGCAGGAGGGAAAGGCTGGTGCTCATAGAGATCTATAACTCCCGACTGAGAAAGCCTGTCTGTCCCACAGGGCACCTTTGCTGGCCGGCCTGCCGGAATGGCCTGCAGGGAACGCACTTTCTACCACTTCCCTTCTTTCTGTAAGAGGAGCTCCACCCGCCTACCCACCCTCCAAAGGCACCTCGATCTCCACCTTTGGTGGAGCATTTCCCACCTCCCAACATCCCTAGAATCTCTCATGGATCCTGGCTCTTTCCACTTTGGGTATTTCATTGTTTGATGTATGAGTAAGCATTTGATCTCTTTCCCTCCGCATCTAAGCTAGACGCTTCTGCACTGACTTAACACCCCTCTTCCATTTTTTTAAACATTTTGCCAAACTGTTCCAAAGATCCCTCCCCGGCTGAATGAACCAGAGGCCGTGACTCACGTTGGAGATGGTAGAGACGAAGAGCATTATAGCAGCAGCGATGTGCACCACAAAGATCCCAGCCAGTAACACCAGCATCTTGGCTGTTTGGTGGTTCGGGAGCAGAGAGTTCTGAAAACAGAAGACAAGGGAGACCAATAGGTTACTGTCATGCTAAGCAAAGCAAACCCCACCTTCTCACTCCACGGGCTCTCTGTTAACACGAGACAAGCGTGACAATTTTTAAAATTCAAAATTGCATCAAAAACTCCTAAAAGCAGCTTTTCACCTGACCTGACTGATAGACTTAAGGGCCTAGTCATCTATGGAGAGAGACGAGAGCATCTGTTTTGTTCCCGTGTTTATAGGTTCATTTCTTTAATATACTATCTATCCCCCTTTTTTCTTTAAAAGGGGGTGCATTGTATTTCTGTAATAGCTGCTAACATTTTATTTGTGATTTAGAGACCAGAAGCTGGGCTTTGGATTTTGAAAAGGGTTTTGTCATCTCCAGAGCTCTGCAGAAGCATCACACACAATCTCAGCTTGAATGAGGAAAGCATCCATGCTCCCGGCAAAATGCTCACCCAGCAGTTTGAAGAGAGCTCATGTGCTGTGCAGAACAAGCCGCTATTACTCACTGGCCATAGAGCAAACGGGCTACTAATTTGATCCCGGATGAGACATAAAATGGGAGAGACACTACTTCTGTTATTACAATGCTTTTTGGCATCTAATATTGTGACAACCTAATTACAGTGTAATGGTCCGATCACTTACTGATTTAACATTCCAGACTAATATCTACAACACCTGAGCCTTTGGCCCTGCATGCCTCTCAGTGGGGATGCTGTCTGGGGGCATCTAAGGCAATGTTAGATTCCCTGTGGCTCAACAGGACAGCTCTGGGGCTTCGGAAGTATAAAGCCTGAGATAACACCAGAAGTGTCGTTCACAAGTGTGTGGTGTTTGTGTAGCTTCAGTCATTCAGGACCCAGCCCAGAAGACAAACAGATGCATAAATCACCATTTGGAAGAACAGGAACTAATATAAATTAGTATTGTGCATGGATAAACGAAAGCTCTCAGCCGCAATTTCAGCAGAGACCACTAATGGTAAAGACCAGGAACTAAGGGGACTGGGAGGGGCGCACATGGAGGAGCTGTGCTGACCCAAGTCACTGCGCCATGACAGTTAGATGCAGACCCAGCCCAGGGAGACATCAAAAGGAAAGGACTGGAGGCTGCCCACCCTCTAGGCAGGGAGTACGTGAGGATGACCCAACCAAGGAGGAGATGGCGGCTGGTAGCCTGCAATTGCTTGCTCCCCCCTCACTCCACCTGATTTAATTGAAGCTTTGGATGTGCTGAAGCCACTTTCATGCTACACTAGGTATTTATTAGGACACCGATGCTGTCATTATTCTGACATTTCAGGTGTCTTTTATCTCCTCTCACTTTCTCGTTAGGCACACAGAATCCAATGTGATCTACTGCACGCCTGGGTTCTTGGCTCTTTGTGGACACTGGTTTCCACTCTCCAGAAACCTCTTCCCCACTGGCCACTTCCCTCTAATTTGGGGGAGAGGGGGGTGGTGAGGGAGGCAGAGAACGTTTCCAATTTAACTATGAATGCCAAGGTTGATGACCCGTTCTCTGGGGAGCAATTAGAACTCTCAGGTCTGCCAGGCGATGGTGGCGCACGCCTTTAATCCCAGCACTCGGGAGGCAGAGGCAGGTGGATCTCTGTGAGTTCGAGACCAGCCTGGTCTACAGAGCTAGTTCCAGGACAGGCTCCAAAGCCACAGAGAAACCCTGTTTCAAAAAACAAAAACAAACAAACAAACAAAAAAAAAAGAACTCTCAGGTCTGTAAACCCACTGTTCTCCTTCCCTGTTGGCTTTATTGGGGCTCTTGCAAACCTCCACAACTCCCCGCTTGGCTTTAAGGATTGGGGTTTTGTTTTGTTTCTGTTTGTTTGATTGCTTGTTTTTAATTAGAAGTTGTTAGAATCATCCCAAGTTCCAGTCATCCCAAGTGCTTTGATCTCTGCCTCAGTTTCCTCATAGATGTGGGGATGGGGGCGGTGGGGATGCTAATTATTCCCTAAATGTGAGGATTGCACTGGATTATATAAGTGAAATACCTTGTGTTGCGTCTGGTATGTGGTGGGTACTAATAACAGGGTTACCACGGTTGCTGTTATTGTTATTGTTTCTCTTCTACGAAGCAGAATAGCTGTTGCCAACCCAATTCAGTTATCCAAGCACACACGGAATAGGATGTCTGTTTGAGGGTTAGTTTGCCAGGCAGTATATGGGCTAAAATTATTTTGGTCCTCAGAAATTGTCTCTTTTGTCTAGTCCTTACCACTAAGAACACACCCTTCAGAGTCACCAGAAAAAGATAGCTTTTTCTCCGTCCATTCCACCAAAGTACCCTCTTTCCCAAGCTTGCCCCTTCGGAATGAAGCTGGCTCAAGGCAGGAAATAACAAGACTTACATAATGGGCGCTTGTGTTCAACCCTCCTTGACCCTTTAATGACTCTCTTTCCTTTTGTTTATAATCTGAAACAGCCTCCTTCTAGTGAGAGGAAGATGAGGAGCCAAGAAGGGAATATAAATTCCCAAGTGAGGCCACAGGCAGGTGGAATTCAGGAGCCTTTCTGTCTCCCTGGATGCCCTGGGACCCTCTCCACCAGAGTCCATTTTATTCTTCCCACTTACCGTTTCATCCAGCGAACCCTCTCCCAGCCACTCCGGCTCACTCTTAACCTCAGCAGAGGCCCTAGTTCCTGTCCCCTGCCTACTGTCAGGTAGAAGTGCAAGTGAGGTTTTCCTCAAACTAAAAAGTGACTCTTGTCTGAGATTTGGGGGCAGGGAGAGCTGTGTTTCCTCCCTCAAGCAAGGGAGCAAAATATCTCAGATCAATGAGGGTTCATAATGAACCAATCACATAGGTCTCCCTGTTTCTGACTACTGTCTCCAGCCTGTGTGGAGGCTGTTTAGGTAGCTACTGCATAATATACACGGCTTCATCTTTACACTGTCCCAAATGGGTCAGCTTACATCAGTGAAATCCATTGTCAGCTTAGAGGGGCTTTCTTTCTTGTTCGTTCGTTCGTTTGTTTGTTTTTGACGGTGTTTCTTTGTGTAGCCTTGCCTACCTTAGAACTCACTTTGTGGATCAGACTGGCCTCGAACTCACAGAGAGCTCCCTGCATCTGCCTCCAGAGCTCTGGTTTTAAAGGCGTGTGCCACCATGCCTGGCACTTCCATGATTTTTAACACCCTCTTCCAAAATACTTAGAAACACAATGGAACATTTTATGAAGTTTCTGTCTTGGGTCATCCATGGTTATCCAGCCTCTGTATTACAGAGCCAACCCCTTGCCCACTCAGTCAAGAACAATAGTTCTCAACCTGTGGGTCACGACCCTTTGGGAAGGTCAAATGACCCCTTCATAGGGGTTGCATATCAGGTCTTTATATTACAGTTCATAGCAGTAGCAAAATTGCAGTTATGAAGTCACAGCACAAATAATGTGATAGTTGGGGGTCAACACGACATGAGAAACTGTATTAAAAGGTTGCAGCATTAGGTAGACTGAGAACTGACCTGGGGGGACGAAGCCCTCAAGATCTTTATGGATAACTACCAGTAGCGGCCAACAAGTGGGTGTCTGAGAACCTAGCAAACAGCATAGTCCATGTTCTCGAGACTTCCACCCACCATGATCTTTTGAAATTTGTCCATTGACTCATGCCTTGTTCAAAGAATGAGACTATTTCTGGACTCATACTGTATACACCTCGCTGGTATAAAACGCTTGCCTAGCATGTTCGGGGCCCTGGAACTGGTCCTCAGCACCACCCAAAAAAAAAAAAAAGCAAACAAACAAAACTATCCGCAGCATGTAGACAATTTTGAAAGCATGGAATGCTACAACTTGTGTCTCCCCGAAGCAATAATGGAATTCCTATTTCCCCCTCCTATTTCTCCAAAATGCTATGATTGGAATTCTCCAGTGGAGAACACATTGCTCCTCCTCGACAGGTGGACCAGACCCTGAAGCAGGGAACACAGCAGCATCACAGATCGGAATGTCCCATGGTAGCCCAGCCTCCCCTCTTGCTGCATGGACAGACCCAAGCTGTGTCATCTGTCGTTGGGGACTTCCCTGCCAAGACTGCAACTCCTCGTGGTGTTTTTGTGTTCCCCCGTGTGGGCCACCACACCTGGTCAGTCACAGTGCTTTAAAAAGCTTTAAAGTGTGGTGGCTTATGTGGACACCAAGAGCACTTCCCTGGCACCTTCTCCACCCATAAACATGGCAGTCACGCCATCCACACTGTGTGATTGGCACGGGTGTGGTCAGGGCTGAGGGCAGCTGAGAAACAGACACAAGTCATGAATGACCACACTAGAAAGAAGTGGCTATTAGGAAAAATAAGGATCAAAGACTTGGAGCCAAGTTCAGTTGGGAATCTCTGTGTAGTCCAAACTAGCCTCAGACTTGTGGCAATTCCGCTTCGACCGTCCTGAGTGTACAGAGTGCCACGATTTACTTGAGACTGAGTGAAACTCTGGCCAATGAGACAGTCTCTATGGATGGTAAGATGTTACAAGATGCTTTCTGGGACCATGCCTGTGGATCTGGCTGGCTGAAACCAGTTTAGGCATTTTTGGGGTGTGGGTAGCTAAGATTCTAAGATAGTCCATTACTGGAAAGAAAAGCACAATAATGGTTCAGCTGTCACTTCTGCCTCTTCCTGATTTCCTGCCCAAAGTATCACAGTCAGCTGGGGGTCTACCTGTATTATCTTACCAGGGTTCCTGGTTATTCCCACCCCCATTGTCAGGATCCTAGCCATGATGCTGTCTCTAAACTTCCACTCCCCATGCATTCTCTGTACTGGTATTGGGTTATCTGACCATGTCCTCCTCAACCTACAAACCTCCATCCTTCCATTGCTGAGAGTGCTTGTCTCCGTCAGAAGATGAGATGCCAGTCAGCTGTCCATGGAATTCTGGGAATCTGACTTTCAAAATGTAAGCTGCTCTTATGTCTTTCCTCCAGTGTTTACCTATTAGTTTTTTTCACCCAAACTCAAATTCTGCCTCTTCCTTC